AAGACTCTCTCTCTCTCTCTCTCTCTCCTCTCTCTCTCTCTCATACACATCCTTCAATCATATAAGAACAACAGATCGACGAGCTCTCTCTCTCTCTCTCTGTCTCTCTCTCTCATACACATCCTTCAATCATATAAAAGAAAAGCAGATCGACGAGCTCTCTCTCTCTCTCTCTCTCTTTCACCCTTCAAGCATATAAAAGAAGAACACATCAACGAGCTCTCTCCCTCTCTCTCTCTCTCTCAATGGCCACAATACCCTCATATGCTTCAAAACTCATGCATTTCTCCCCTTTCAACCCCTCGAATAAGGCAGGACTCACAAACAGGGACTTTCAGACTGTGAACCCATTCAAACATAAAGAGAAACCATGGCAAATCCAGTGTTCTAAGAAGAAAACCAGCTTCACAGATCGCATACTCGACTACATAGAAGGTATGGAACACATTAGTTCTGTGATCTTTTCAACTTCCTATCAGTGTTATCAAGCTCCACACCAGCCATTGAACTGGTGAGGGTAGTAGCCGGTCCAAACCAGTGGCCATTTCACCACTCAGATTGCTTGGAGATAATAATACTAATAAATACAAAAAAAATGATCATACAATTCAAAAACTGGTCTGAACAGCTAAAACAGGTTTGAATTGGTATCCAATTGGTTGAATTGGCTGGTTTAACTTGTCCAATTGGTTGAAGAGGGCAGTTCAGACTGGTTCTCACTAGTTCGAACCGGTTCTTGTTAGTTCGTCAAACCATCTCTTGTTCAGTTTTGACAAATTGTCGGTTTAGTGATCAAACCAGCCAAATTCTATGCCCGGTTCCCTGTCCAGCCAGTCCTACTAACATTGCTTCCAACGACTCCCTCTGACACTCTCTAAATCTATAAGAATATGCATGCAACAGGGGTTCAAAAAGTAAAAGCACCTTAGGTGAATTCCTGCTTGATAGCTTCCTAATTCTTCTGATAACCAAGCAGTTCACTAAATATTGAATACAGGAGGGCCAAAACTGAGGAAGTGGTATGGTGCATCCGATGAACTTCCAAGGGATGGAGGGCTTCCAGAGGAGGAGGAATCGGCAGGTACTAGATTACAACCACCGACCCCCCCCCCCCCCCCCCCCTCCCCCTTCCCACCCCCACTCCCAGCGTCTCTCTCTCTCTCTCTTTGAGTAATTCTGATTGTGTATTTGATTAAGCAAAGAACCAGAGGTCCGAGATTCAATACTGGTGACAAATGGAGATAGTGAAATTGGTCAGGTACTAGAGATCAAACTCATCTTTTAATTCTTACACCATAAACCTCTCTTGTAAATGCTTAATCAGTGAGGGGCAAATAGAGGAAGGAACTCTACCTTAGATTTCTAGTGGTGAACTTTGTCAAGGGAGCCCAACCTAGCTCAAAAAGAAACATAACAATTTGAGTAAGGACATTTTTTATCATTTGCTAAGGGCAACAGTAAAAATTGTTTTTGTAAATAACATCCGACCACCAGCCCAGTCCGATCCCAATAACTTCATGTTGAAGTATGCAGATGGTGATATTGTCATTGATACTTAGACGAGCACGCGTAAAAGCACTCGTGAATGACAAACGGGCAGCTTTGGATGCATTTGGGTCCTATGTGGAGGTGATACCCTAAATTCCCAGTTTTTATATATAATATGCAGTAGGTATTTAATTTCCTGTTTACGTGCTAAACCATCATGCATTCTGAAAAGCCAATATCTAGACAAGGAAATGACAGTTCAGGGCTCACAAAGGCCATAAAAGGCGTCCGTGCCATCATATGCCCTTCACATGTATGCATCTCTCTCTCTCTCTCTCTCTCTCTCTCTCTCTCCCCACTAAAACTCTACATGGTACACGATTCATGAACAGCAATCATGAGCAGCATATTGATTCAACCCAATAAAACCTTGTGTAATGCAGGAAGGGTGCTTGTCAGAAATTGAAAGCATGAGAGGGGTACAACACATCATCCTTCTATCGCAGGTTATCTGATGTCTCGGTTCCCAGTTTGTTTATTATTATAGGAAAGTTAATGGACCTTTACTTTCATATACTACCAGAAGTGGAGCATGAGATCAGATAATAGTCTTATCAGACCCATAAGCATGAGCTCATATGCCTGCTCACAATTCTCTACGTATACATGGTCCATCTGTATCTACACATAATGTATATACACATACTCTTCCCTATGGATAAATATAGATAAAACACAACTAGAAAAAAGGTCAGACACATGCACGCACACCAACACAGGCATGCACGAACACACGCATATATAGTGAGAACCAAGATAACAGGGGAGTGATGTAAAATTACAATAGACAGTTTAAATTTCAGAGCAATTTGAATATGTCGAATGATTTATGGACAACTCACATCACCAATATATTTCCATCCTTTTCGCCACCTTCCCTTGCATGCCATATGTTGCTCCATTTGAACCCGGCTGTCGACACCTCTCTTTTACAATTGTGGTGATTTCGACTTTCAAGTTGGCTTAGTGTGATATACTGGTTTCAGTGAGGGTTTGAAGTTTGAACCCAAAAAGGCTAAACAAGCTAGTGTTTTCTGTTTTTATCATATATATGAAAGATATGTAGAAGATATAAAAATAATAATAAGTTCAACAACCAAGAAACATAAACCATAATCATAATTACTGGAATCGATTACCTCTTTGACTCTTGCTGAGGGAGTTTTGGTCAGGATGCAGTTGGCCGTTTATAAAAGTAGCAGTGGTATCCAAGGTCTAATGAATAACAAAGCTAGAAGACTAGCAGAGAGAGATGAGGAAGCAGTTCAAGGATGTGGAATCCCGTATACTATAATCCAAGCTGGCCTGCTCGAGAATAGTCCTGGTGGCATGCAAGGTTTCAGCTTTGAAAAGGTCTCTACATTGAAGGAGGGGGGGGGGGCGGGAGGGAGAGAGAGAGAGAGAGAGAGAGAGAGAGAGAGTACTTTTCTTTCTTTTTCCTTTTTACCCTAATAGTTAAGAAACTAGTTCTTAATCATATCAAACTGACTAGCACCAAGAGAGAGAGAGAGTCTCTTATCATATCGAACTGAGGCAGAGGGGGAGAGAGAGAGGGAGAGACAGAGACTGTTGCTTAGCACATCATACTGATGCATCTTCGTCGACTTGTTTACTAACAGAATACTAGTTTTCTGATGCTGGTTGCAGGATGCAGCAGCCAAAGGAAGACTAAGCAAAGAGGATGCTGCAATGATTTGTGCAGAGGCCCTCAATATCATACCAGAAAGAGGACTAGTTTTTGAGGTTGGTGGGCCCTTGGTAGAGTCTCGCTAATGTTACATTGGTTTATGTAAACGCTCAATCTTTGTAGAAATTCTAATAGAAAGTGCATTTTGTAGGTGGTCAATGGGGAGGAAAAAGTCTTGAACTGGAAAGAGCGTTTTGCATCACTCATTGCCAGCAGTGAACAACTTCAAAAGTGATTATGGTTTTGGAATGGAAGGAGTAGCTCAAATAATTATTAAGCAAGCATCTCTCTCTCTCTCTGGTCAACAGGGAAGGTTTTGGACTGGAAAGAGCATTTTGCATCACTCGTCGCCAAACAGTGAACAACTTCAAAAGTGATTATGGTTTTGGACTGGAAGGAGTAATTCACATAATAAATTAAGCAAGCATCTCTCTCTCTCTCTCTCTCTCTCTCTCTCTCTCTCTGCAAGCAAAAATATACATATTTAATAATTATTCAGGCATGATCCCCTGGTTATGTGCATCCTCTGAAAACAACTATCAGTTATTGGTCTTATATCTGTTATAGATCGCAGAGTGAGAGAAGCAAACAATGGCAAGACCATAGGTGCCCCAATTCAGTATGGAAACCACAACACAAGAATATGTCCTTCTCGGTATGACAATTATGATGAAGAAATGAATTTTTTTAAGGTCACTAGACATTTCACAGTTTTCACGATTACAATAATTCAATATTGTCAAAGAAAAAGGAAAAGTTCAATTTCATGAAGTAAACTGTAATCAGGCATCAATAAATGATAATTTCAAATGTAATTTTATTTTCTTAGAGTTGGTCCTTTATGGTCAACAAGAAACAACAGGAAAGAAGTATAAATATCAAAAATCTGCATGATATATACAGACTAGACCAGAATGAGTTACCGGTGTGCGGCAAAGAGGACATTCCGGCTTCTCATTACACCACTCCATAATGCAGGTCCTGTAAAAGCATGGGCTACACATTAGTCTGAACACAAGCCCTGATGAAAAGGAAAATATACTCAGGTTAAGCAAGAAAAACTTTACACTATTAGGTCATCAACATCCAATGAAATGATGGATGGTGGGTCCATCAATGGGATCCACCAGAATACATGGCTCTTCGGATGGCAATGACTCTGATGGCCTATTGTTTTCCATAGTCCAATTGGATATAATATATACTTTCCATTAGGTGCAAGACATATACCAGCAGAAGACATGTCCACAAGGTGTGGCGGTGGGGTTTTGGCGAGGACTAAGACAGAGCGTGCATTTGCTGAAATTACCAGATTTCTGTGACTGGAACAATCAAAAAGACAACATTTGTAACCTTCCATATTGCTTTCGAGAAAAATAACTAAAAGCAAAGTATACTACTTGAGAGGGAGACAAAGAAAGCAGCATTCACCTTGTACTAGGATAAATGCATGCACACGAACATACACACACACACACACACAGAGATAAATAGATAGACAGAGAGAGAGAGAGAGAGAGAGAGGAGGGTAGG